GCCCACCAGGAGCTTTCCCTGCACAAGCGGCGACCCCAGTTTGAGAAACACTGCTTTATTGGACCAACTGATGATGATGAAAGCAACAAGTTTTCAAACTGCACAGAGCTCTTCTTCAGCTCTGTGTAACTCACAAGCTTGTCTCTTTCACCAAGTTGGTCCAATAAAAGATATTACCTCACCCACCTTGTCTCTCTAATATCCTGGGAACAATACGACTATAACTATACTGCAAACAAAGATTTCAAAGCTCTTAACAAATATTAATTAATTATGCCTCATGTCTACCCTTGGGAGGTAGAGAAGTATCACTGGAAGGACCAAGGTGCACCAGTGAGATAATACTTGGTGCCACCTCAGATCCCTGGCCCTCCCTGCCCAATATGCCATCTCCAGCAATGGCCATCCTTGATGTTTCAGAAAAAGGAAATTAAAAAAACACAGACTACACTGACGAAAAAAATTCTTTCCTGACCCCTGCAGGTGGCTGGCAGAAACCCTGAAGCATGAGCTTTTAGGAACATAAGACATAAACCAGGAATGAGCCCCAACCCTTACCATCATAAGCAACCCCATCATACAATCGTACTCTTAAATTTGTCCAGCTCGCTCTTAAAACTAATTTAATTGCTTGCCCACACAAATCCTATTGGGAGGCCGTTCAGAACTTCACCCCTCTGAAGGTTAGAAACCTTCTTCCAATTTCCATCCTGAATTTGTTCATGGCCAATTTATAGCCATTTGTTTGTTTGAGAACATTGTCCTTTAGCATAAATAGCTCCTCACCCTCCCCTGGTATTTACCCCCATAATGCATTTATAGAGAGCAATTATATCCCCTCTCAGCCTTATTTTTGCTAAGCCAAACAAGTCAAGTTCTTTCAGTTTTCTGTCGTAAGACAGGCCCTCCATTCCCTTGATCATAGTAGTAGCCCTTCTCTTCACCTGTTCCAGTTTAAATTAATCTTTCTCTACCATGGGTGACCAGAATTGTACACAATGAGTCAGTGGCTGAAAGAGAAAGAGAACCCAAACCTCCTGACTTCTAGTGCCCTTGCTCTAACTGCTAGATCACACTCCCTCCATATTTAATAAAATTAAACAAAACAAAGTCAGAGGTATTCTTGGAACTGACATAAAAGGGGGAAATGAATGCAAGTGAATCTGATGCTGAAAGTATCTGAGGCCATCACAGTATATACAGCCTACCATAGTATATACAGCCCTGTAGTGCCCCATCATTACATTGATTAGCCGCCCTGGCATCCAACAGAGAGATTTTATCCCTGGACAAAATAAAGAGTATTGGAAATTTACCGAAGGCTCGGCATGCTGAGATGCACTGCTAGGCACCACATCCATAGGAGTTCCCATGTCAGCCTCTACGAAGCTGGATCAGAACACGTTGGAATGGATCAGAAGATCCTCCCCTTGGAAACCTGAGGTGAAGAAGGAAATGTATTAAACACATAGAAAGCAAACTCTTTAGGAGAAAAAAATCTACCTCTAATGTTTTAGGGGAAAGCAACCCTCTTCTCTCATCCCCTGCAGCAAACACCTGCGAAGGGCTAGGGACTCAGGTAATGGAAAACTAACAAACTGTCTGCCTCACAGGCGAAACCAAAGCATTTATGAATATGTATCCTGCAAGTCGTGGGTCCTTCCAGAATTGTCTAGATCAGAGTAATCAAAGCACCCATGCATTGTGACTGCTATAAGCCCTTTAATTGTACTCTGATGCCTCAATACTTCCAAATATACAGGTTTCAACACTTCAGCTTCAGTATTTAGTATTTCTAGTGTCAGTGATTTACAGAAATAAACAGTGAGTTGAGAGCAAGGTTTTGTGGGACCAGAGTGAAGGAAATTGCCTTCATAGGTGGGGGGCTGCTTGAGCTTGGAACATGTTGGCCTTGTATTCTGTCCACTATTTGTAAAGTATATATAGTGAATCCAATACTTCCGAAACATGTGTAACATAGAGACTACTGGTCACACTGGCTCATACTACTGTATATAGATTTCACAAAGGATCAATTAGCCTTCATGTACATGCAGGAAATGCCATCCAACTTCAGTGGGAGCTATATATGCCAAGCAGTAGGAAGTCTGACTGTTGGAGCCAAAGCAGGACCACTCCTTATACTCTATTCTCCAGGGCATTGTCTGATCTAGTTATAAATGACCCAAGCAATGGGGTTTCCACCACTTCTATTAGGAAACTATTCCACTGCCTGTTAAGGAACATTTCCTGATATTCAGCTTACATTTTCATTTTAGGGTATGTATACACTACGGGGACTATACCGGCACAATTATGGCACTGTAGCTATGCCAGGATAACTCTGTAGTGTAGATGTGACCCACACCATCTCCCCAAGTGACAGTAGCTAGGACGCATTCTTCTGTTGACCTAGCTGCGTCTACACGGGAGTTAGGTTGATATAGTTACGGCGCCCAGGGGTGTGAATTTTTCACACCCTTGAGTGACACAGCTATATCAACCTAAATTTTAAGTGCAGACCAGCCCATAGTTTCCTTCCATTAATTCCAATGATATCCCCTTTACTTCTTAAAACACAGTTCAAAATACACATTGTCCAGGGCTTTTGGGTCAAGGAAACCTACCAACCCCACCCATCTCTAGCACCCACCACCATAGAGTATTTATGTGCTGGCATGCCTATGGTACTTTTTTTAAACCTGCTTTCCTTCCCTTTGGTTTCTCCCAGGCCTCCAGGGGAATAACATTCCAAACACACTTGCCACTGCGGGCCTGATTCATGACAGCGAATTCGATGGCAATAACATCACAATGCTATATGCAGATGTGTTATGCCCAGGTCTGGATCAGTGTCCAGTATGAGTTGCCTCCTTTGAGGCAGACAGAGCTGAGACAGAAAAGGAGGTTGGAATAGGTTGTAGGTATGAGGAGTGGCTGCAAAGGTTCAGGCTTAGCCTGCACAGCAGAAAGGAGGAGGGGTGGGGAATACCCCATCCATAATTAGACCACAATGGAGGTACAGGGGGTGTCACTGGGGAAGTATTATTCAGAGGTATGGAGGAGAATGTCCCTGAGGGTTGCAGATATTGTTGTCCCTGGGGTGTCATCTCCCCAGCAACCTGGGGCACAGGGGAATGTCCTTGGGTGCGTGGTGAGGGGATGGGGATGACACTGGGTGTGTGGTGGGGGATGAGGGTATCACTGGGTGTGAAAGGTAGAGGGGTATCACTGGATGTGTCATATGGATGTGTGGTGGAGGATGGGACGGTGTCACTGGCAGTATGCATGCTGGAAGGTGTTCCTGGATATGTGGTCAGCTGTCACTGGGTGTGCATGTGGAGTGTGTGGTAAGGGGTGACACTGGGTGAGTGATGGGAGGATAGGCGTATCCCACTGTAGGTGGTGGTATGGGTATGTCACTGGGTGTGCAAGGGGGCGTGTGTGTCTGTGTATGTGGTAAAGTGGTGTAACAATTTGTAGTGGGAGGAGAGGGGTGTTCCTGGTTGTGTGATAGGGGTGTCACTGTGTGTATTGGGAGGCATGGGGATGGGAGATCACTGGGTGTATGGCAGGAAATGGAAGTGTCACTCTGTGTGTATAGGGGAGATGGGAGAGCACTAGGTGTACAGGGGGTAGTTGGGGTGTCACTGGGTGTGTATTGAGCAGTGCGAAAGGGTTGGGGGTCACTAGGTATGTACTTAGTGTGTGGTGGGGAGGTCACTGGGTGCATAGCAGGAGGTGCAGGGGATGGGGAGATCACTGGGAGTATGGTGGAGGGCTGGGGAGGTTACTTGGGTGTATTGGGGGTTGGGGTGTCACTGGCTGTCTGGTACAAGGTTGGGAGTCACAGGGGGTGGGGCTGGGGGCAGGGCCAGCTCCAGGCACCAGGCACCCAAGCTGGTGCTTGGGGCGGCACCTGGAGGGGGGCGGCGCGGCGCTCTGGCCACAGCCGGGCTCGCCGCCCTCCCCCCGGCGCTCTGGCCGCCCTCCCCCCCCGCGCCCTCCCCCCGGCCGCCGGGGGGAGAGCGGAGCCCCCACCGGGGCTCCGGCCGCCCCCCACCCCCGGCTCCGGCTGGGGGGATCACTAGGGGTCTGGTGGGGTCAAAGGGTCTGGTGGGGTTAGGGGGGTCACTAGGGGTGTATGTGGGGGCTGGGGGCTATTGGGGGGTCACTGGGGGTGTATGTGGGTGGGGGCTGGGGTGACTGGGGGGCGGGCTCACAGGAAGTCGCTGGGGGGTCACTGGGGGTGTATGTTGGTGGGGGTTATTGGGGAGTCACTGGGGGTGTATGTGGGTGGGGGCTGGGGTGAGTGGGGGGCGGGCTCACAGGAAGTCACTGGGGGTCACTGGGGGTGTATGTTGGTGGGGGCTATTGAGGGGTCACTGGGGGTGTATGTGGGCGGGGGCGGGGATGAATGGGTGGGCGGGCTCACAGGAAGTCACTGGGGGTGTATGTTGGTGGGGGTTATTGGGGGAGTCACTGGGGGTGGATGTGGGTGGGGGCTGGGGTGAGTGGGGGGCGGGCTCACAGGAAGTCGCTGGGGTCAGGAGGCGCGGGGGGGTAACTGGGGTGCGGGGTCTCTGCCCTTTGGGGCCGCAGCCGGTAGCCGGCCTGGGGCAGCAGCGGTCGGGCCCCGCGGGCTCCTGTTTCTCCCCCCGCCCCCAGCCGAGCTCGGCCCGTACCTGCAGCCGGGGCCCGGCCCAGGCCCCGCAGCTCCCGGCGGCGGCAGCGCGTCCCCGCTGCCATGGCGACCGGGAGGCGGGACAGGGAGGCCGCAGGGACCGCTCCGCCCCCGCGCCCGGACTCAGAGCCGGGCGCGACCGCCCCCTGGCGGTGCTGAGCGGGAGCGCAGGGCAGGGCCCCCAGCTCTGGGGGGGCGGGATCCCCTAAGAGAGGGGGCAGGGTCCTTTGGGGGAGAGGATGGGGGGCAGGGTCCCTTGGGGGCCAGGGTCCCGGGGTGGGCCAGGTCTCCTAGGGGAGAGGATGGAGGGAAGGGAGGATCCCGGTTCCCCCAAAAGAGAGGATGGGTGTACTGAGTACAAGTGGCTGAGACCCCAGCCACTTCCTGTGAGCCTGCCCCCCACTCACCCCAGCCCCCACCCACATACACCCCCAGTGACCCCTCAATAGCCCCCAGCCCCCACATACACCCCCAGTGATTTCCTGTGAACCTGCCCCCCACTCACCCCACTGCTCTGGGTACCTCAGCAGCCCAGCTAGGGTGGTTATCTGGGGAGGATACAGGTGGTGGTGCTGGGGTATCAGGGTGATGGGTGCCAAAATGACAGTAGATGGGACAGAAATGTCTCATCCCAAATGGCGAGGATCCAGCAACAACACAACTTCCAGCTTAGCTATAAAAATATTTATTTTCCAATTGTAAAATCAGCAGTCCCTGCTTCTGTTACCCAGGAGTCATGCAGCAGAGCCAGACAGCAAGGCAGAGGGGGATTGTACAAATTCTTCATTAGCCATTTCTGACCCAAACTCAGCAATTAATAACATCACACTTAATTCAGTCAGATATTGGGCAGAAATTCTCTTTCTATGCTACAGAGATAATCTGTTTAATGTGCCTAAAGACAACATTTTAGAAATGTTGTTTTACTGTTTTAGTAAATCATGTTATTGTATGTTTATTATATAGATCAGCATTTCTAAATAAGAATGATTCAGCATACAAACAGATTTCATTGTAAATGAGTATTGGCTTCACATTTTCTGAAAGTAAACAAGAATAATTTTCCTTCACACAGTATTTATTTTAATAACAAAGTGTCAGAAATCTCCTTTTCATAACTGGTGGCACTGATGAACCTGTATCTGCCATGTATGCATGTGAGTAGCTTTATACATGTGTTGTGCATAAGTACAGGAACGAGGCGCATATCACCATAATGACCATTTAAAAAGTGCAATTTCATTAGTTAAAAGTACAATTAAGCCTCAAACATTAAAGGAACATTTGATTTCACACTCATTTAACTCAAACTGAACAAGCCCAGAAAACAGAAGATGTTTGTATTATCTGTTAACATTCAGTGCAAAAACAAGTCCTTCAGAGAAATCATTTCAAAACGTGTACTTTCACATTTTATCTATTTGAGGCCTGTTAAACAGGCAAAATTACTGTATTATTTCTGTTTCTATGGAGCGCATTTGATTATCTCTACGATATACTGTACCTCTAGAAACAACATGGAGTACCAGCTAAGCATGAAAGCTAGAATTCCCCAGGAAATCTGAGATAAAATATCAGTCCAGGCATTGAGGAGCTCATTAAAAGATAGTGGTAACAGCAACAGAAACTAATACAGAATACAAAAGAGCCAGAGGTTCAATTAATCCACAGATCAATAGAATCAACTGACATGCCCAGAAAACAAGTTCCTTAGGGTCAGACTCTGTTCTTATTTACACCAGCTACAATCTGGACCAACTCTATTGACTTGTGGATTTCTCCCAGTGTAACTGAAATCAGAATCTGGCCCTTACTGTTTGTCCTATGCTCTATTTGTGTGGCTCGCTTTCCCATTCCCAGCTCAGCATTCCAGGGGGGGGAGAACTTCAGATCAGAAACAGATTCTTTGCCGCACAGTTTGCGGCAGCTGGTTGCTTCACTCAGAACTAGAGCATAATTTGTTCTCAAATGAGCCCCATTCATTTTTGGCTGGAGATGCAGGTACATGCCCAGTTTCACCACTAAATGACAAACTACCCAGCTGCCAGCATTCTGCATGGCTACCCACTAGCTTTAGGTGGACTTGGCACCAAGGGTGCATGGTGTCAAAAGAGACCGCGCATTTCTGCCATTAGCAGACGAGCAGATGGGCAGTGCCCTGTGCCATGTGTTACTCTACCAAGGAGGTTATGGCTGCAAAGGAAGGCTCCCCACTAAGTGATAATCTATATTTAATAAGGTTTATATAAAACCTATATAATAAAATTATTTTATCCTGCACTGGCTGAGGGAGGTTGGATTAGATAATGGTGAACTAATGGCTCTTTCTAGTTCTAATATTGGTGATTCTATGAAAAGATGTAGTTGCCTGCTACTCCCACAGTCTAGCATGCACAAGATCTGGGTTTGAGACCCCACTTCCACCCTTGAATAGTGGGCCAGCAAGGGCAAAGCACTCAGCCTCTCTCTTGTAATGAGGGAGTGCCCGGTGCCACACAGTCGCACTGTCCAAAGGCCATCCATTCCCCCTTGGTCAGAAGGATGGGTGATCATGCAGGGCCTGGAGAGTATGGGGATCTGGGGGAGAAAAGGGAGAATCCTTGGAGCTTTAGGAGGGAGTCAGAAGAACTAGCCCTCACAGTAATATAGGGCTTTATCCTGCAAACCTGACTATAGGCATAGCACTTGCACTGAAGTCAGTGGGACTTCATAGGTGAGCAAAAGCCATTCAGGCGAAAAGATTGCAAGACTGGTCCCCAAAATATCTCCATGGTAACATACAGATATTAGTACCGCTTTTATTTTTTTAGTGAACAGTAACTCATACTGACCACACTCAGGTCTTTAGTTAATAAAGTTGTTGTAGGCAAAATGCAATTTGATTATAAACTTTACGAAACTCCCCATTTTCAAACACTGGTATTTGACCAGGATGTCCCAAATCCTGCATTGAGCCACTCAGATCAGCACATAGGTGCACAAAGTTTCATTTAACAGTGTAAAGTGCTGGTTTAAGTTTGGAAACCCTGTTTAGGTGACAACGTTGGAAATTCAGCCCACAGTTTAACCCCTGCCATGGAGGGATGCAGGAACCTACTGGATTGTTGCTAAACCACATTATTAATAATCAATATTATTAATCTATAAACAAAATCTCAAAGGTGTATTGGTGAGGGGGTGTCTAGCATGAGCCCTGTGCTAGGCGCCATCTGCTACCATGACACAGGAAGGAAGAAGAAAGGGTCCTAAACCCTATCTGAGGTTGGCTATGATTCATCCCCAATCCCATAGACATGCAAACTGCCAGCGTGTATGAGGACTGGATGACCCACCCTTAAGTGTTAACAGAGGATTTAAAATTATTGTTCAAAAATTAATTTGTAAATGTTAGTTGCTTTCATTTCAGACCATGGCTAAGAGCTTCTCATTCTCTTTCAGGGGCAAGGATCCACATCTATAACCGTCCTACTGCTGAAAGGGCTGCTTAGCCATGTCTAGACCCTGCATTCCTACTCTTAGCATTGCAGAGCACTGTGCATGGTGGGAACACACTGCTTCATTGAGGAAATGGTATGGGGTTAGTGTCTGAAGCATGCCAAGTGGAAGGGCTAGTGTTTGCAACATGCATATAGTGATATGGTCCATGCAATTTTCTCACAGTATCACCCACCTGTCATTTTCTGTAACAGCTGCAGGATTTTCTTAATGTTGAAACAAAATCCAGTGGCAAACATTTCACTTGTTCTAATTTATCTAATCCTTTGTTCTGGGTTTCCAGATCTGCCTGTATTATGGTGCAGGGCTAATCCTCCTGCCATGGTATGAACCACCTCCCCATGGCACTGGGCTATGATTTCATTAGACAAGGAGCAGCTTTACCTTCTAGAAGGGCCCAAAGGAGACATCCTTCCAGCCTCAGAAACATCCCTGATGTTTCTAAAGGGGTAAGTTGGATTTTCTCAGCAAAATCCTGTGAAAAGTTTTATTCAGTTACGACAAATATTAGAGTCCTTCAAAACCAAATACAACTGGAGGATCCAGGTTCTCTGCACATTCTCAGAGAGATCCATGCGTCCATGGTATAGGCTTGAATCTACAGCATCTCAGTCTGTGAAACACTTTTGCTGGAGGAGGCTGCTGCACCTCTTACACCAGGGTCCCATTTCTGCTGTCGTATTTCAGTCTGGGATGGGGGAAGTTAAGGGTGGCATACTCCGTTGCATTCTGCACTTGCAAGTTCTTCACCTCTTGGGCCGAGCGCTCCCGGGCCCTAGTGAATACCTGGATATCTGCATAGTGCACGCTGTCATCACGCTTCACATTCCTGGGCTTGTTCACAGTAGCATAGACTGGAAACTCCGAGACGTCATCGTACATGTGAGCAGCCTGCAGGCCCTTCTGGAAAAAAAATGCTAGAGAATCAGCTCCCCATTCTTTCCCCCCATCCCACACTGTGGGCTCACAGGAGGGCTGAACACCACTGCCGTGTTGCACCTAGCGTCAGCCAAAAGGCTATGCCAGCTCCCCATAGACCGCAACATGCTGCCTCCAAACCATTCTCAGTCCCTGCCAGCCTGGCAATGGAGACTACCCTAGGGGTTGAGCATGCTGCTCCCAAAGCTTTCCCAGCCCCCCTAGCCCAGGAAGTAAGGGTGTGTCTATATAGCAATCAGGAAGCACAACTGCAGCACGTGGAGGCAGACCCAAGCTGGCTTCGATTGAACTAGCTCGCTAAAAAGCAATGCAGCCACCCAAGTACAATATTTCCCGGGATCCTAGGAATGTACTTGAGCGGCTTGCGTGTGCCATTGATGCTACACGGCTATTTTTATTAAGCTAGCTCAATCAAAACTAGCTTGTGTGAGTCTACCCTGGCTGTCCCAGTTCCAATGCAGATGTACCCTAAGAGGCTGAATACTGTATTTTCAACTTGTCTGTTTAGTAAAATGTCTTTAGGGCAGGGCCGGCTCTAGGCACCAGCAAAGCAAGCAGTTGCTTGGGGCAGCAGATTTGCAAGGGGCGCAAGAATCCAGCATGGGAGCTGAGAACCAACAGGGGGCCCTGGGAGCTGTAGTTCCTTGGTTAGCTCCCTGCCTATAGAGCCCGCCCTGGAGCAGGGAAAGAAAGGGTGGGGGAAGGAGCATGGAACTGAAATCTGCAGCTTGCTGTGAATGGTAGGAACAGAGCCAGCTCTAGGTTTTTTGCCGCCCTGCCCTGGGCTCCCCCCGCACCCCTGTATTGCCCCAGCCCTGGACTCTCCCCCGCCCACACCCCCTGCTGCCCAAGCCCTGGGCATCTGCTCTCACACCCCCTGCCGCCCCAGCCCTGGGCGTCCCCTCTCACACCCCCTGTCACCCCAGCTCTGGCCCCCACCTGCACTCCCCTGCTGCCCCAGCCCTGGGCGTCCCCTCTCACACCCCCTGCCACCCCAGCTCTGCCCCCCACCCGCACTCCCCTGCTCCCCCAACCCTGGGCTCTTCCCTCCGCCGCACTCCCTGCAGCCCCAGCTCTGGCCCCCACCCGCACCCCCTGCCGCCCCAGCCCTGGGCTCTTCCCCCCCACCCGCACCCCCTGCTGCCCCAGCCCTGGGCTCTCCCCCAAAGAAGGAATTGGGGGGACTAAATGGACGGTGCATCTCTCTATCTGAAGCCTAGCAAGGGAGGTATGTGGATCCCACTAGAATTTAAAATGAAAAGTAAGGGAGGGGAGGCTCTGGACCTGGGCAGCTTTAGATACAGAACCAGGCACGTAGGAGGATTTCCACTTCTGAGCCATGGAAGCAGAAATAGACTTTTCCTTTCCAGATATAGCTAATATTCAGAAAGGGAATCTAGCACCTGCCTTCCAGATTTGAACACCATCAAAATTCAGGAGTGCTCAAGCTCAATTTGGGCAGCTGTTACTTCATCTCCCCCAAATCAAATATACTGATCCCCTGTAACTTGCTGTAGAAAAAAGTAGAATAAATTGAGCAAGAAATGCTTCCCAGTGGTTATTAGGACTGGAATTGCTATTTTCAACAGCCATTGCTTTTTTAAGTTTTAGTTTTATTTGTTTAAAAGGAAGACCGTGATAGTGCATTCCCCATAGAAACAAAGAATGGAACAAAAGAATAATAAAGGCACCTCAACTTTTTCTCATTTATGTAGGACAGTCTTATAATATTCATCCAAATATCCTCCAGTCACACAAGCTGAAAATTGTTCCACTTTACTGCAGTTCTGTAACCATATGGGAACCAATCCTGTCTGTGTTCTGTGCACATCCAAAATTCCTGCTGAATGACTCGCCCTGGGAGCGAGTTACCAGTGACCCAGGGCTGGGGCGGCAGGAGGGTGCAGTTGGGGGAGCGGGGGAGGGGGAGAGCCCAGGGCTGGGGTGGGGGGGCAGTCAAAAATTTTTTTGCTTGGGGCAGCAAAAAACCTAGAGCTGGCCCTGCTTTAGGGGCCATTTACCTTCCTGTCATCCTGGTGCGGTTGGCTCATCTGTTTTGCTCTAGTGCCTGCAAAAGAAACACCAGAGAATCAGGGTGATTTAACTGCTGGGTATTGCTCCTTCTTATGCATATCACAGCAACAGTGTCCAGGACACAGGCTCTCTCCACTGGGCCCTTTTCAAATTTCCAGCCCAGTTGAAGTCCCCACTGAATCATGTCTTCGGAGCATGCCTCACACAAGAAAGCCCAGGCCTGTTCTTTTTGGAAAATGAGCTTTCCAGAGAGGACAACATGCTGTGGATCACGCAGTACCTAGCAGGAGGTACACACCACAGACAGCGTCAGGCCCTCTGAGCATCTCAGATCCACGGTTTGTCTGTACCCATTTTGTCCTTTGCTGTTTGGCAAACATGTTTTGCAGGGGTTAGTTCTAGGGCTGTTGGTTTGTTTATTTCTCTGTGCTCCTAGTTGATGTTTGCAGCTCTAGGAAGGGTGCTAAGCTGCAGATGCTGCGTGCTCACACACCCTTTGGTTTGCAGCAAGACGGCAATTTAAGTCCTTTTTGGCATGAGATTTAGTCATTTTAAACATATCTAGAATTTTCAGAAGCTCCCTCACAAAATCCTATAACATTCCTAAGGCGCTTTAGGTGAAAGACTAGGAGTGACACACAAATCCCTTACGACCAGCTTCACACAGCCCTAACATTGTGCTGTCATTGTCCAGCAGGAATTGTTTCGTGGGTACTTTAGCACAAATGTGGCTATTTACCAAAAGGCACAATAACAAATTCCCAAACCCAAAAGCGGCGTCTGTCTGTGAATCGTATTTATAATACACACACCCCTTTGGTATGGTATCTACACCAGCATGGACACACCCTCTCCCTTGAGAACTTTGTTCAGGTGTGCATCCTGTTAGAAAGTGCATTAATTCTGTCTAGGAGGGAGCAATGATCATAAGGAATAACAGTGCACTGGGGACTGAATCCTGCGCCCACTGAAGTCAATGGTAAAGCTCCCATTGATTTCAGTGGGGCAGGATCATGCCCTGCCTGGCTTTCAAAGGCTTCTTAGCTGCATTGGGCATTATGTTTTATTCTTGGTGTTTGTCAGACTTTCCTTGTGTTTGCCATGTTGCCAGTTTAGGCACCACAGCAGGTAGCAACTCCAGAGGCCTGCAGAAGTAAAAAAAACAAACAGGAGAGAATGCATCTCTCAGGGGCTATGGGAATTCTGCTGCCTCAAGGCCAGAGTTTGGCACTGCTGTCTGTCCCCATGTCATTTTCCTTCCTCATATGCCCATTCCCCCCATGTGCCAAGCACATACACTTCCCTGCTTTAGGAGAGTGCATCAGACAAGGAAATTTCCTCTCTGTTTTGGCAATAAATTCTATGAAACTTGTGTTCCATTGATCAGGTGGTTCTATCAGGTCTCAGAGTTGGCTTGTGTCCGGTCTTCATAGGGAGGGAAACTTGGCATACAGACCATTGGAGGGGATGGGGCCTCTGAACTCTGGATGAGAATCCAGATTTGTAGCTGTTCTGAGTGGAAGCCACAAGCCTGTGGGACTCTGTCACTGTTCTCCACAGATGTTTCACAAACCCTTACCTTGCTTTTCTTTTTTTCTTTTAAAAGGTGAAGGACATCTCCTGAAATCAGAGAGAGAGGCGTGTTAACACTGCAAGGCCTGAGTCTCTCCTGTTGTCATTGCATGCACATGTACAAACACACACATGTCGCCCGGACACTGCGTTTGGGAACAACGTGAAAGAAACCTGAAAGCTCCCTGGAAGTACGTCAATGGGCACTAGGGAACTTTCAGTGCGCAGCAGCAGGGTCCACATGGCCACTTAGTGTGCAGTAGGCGTGCAGCAGGATACCCCAGCTTGTTGTACACTTACTACCCCTGTAGCTGTGTAGACACACCCTAAGAGCCATTGAGCCCAAGCAAGACTCTCCCAGTTGCAATTCCCTAGGAGCTGGCCAGTGGAAAGTGTTACTGAATTAACCCAGAAGACTGCAGGGTCTGAGGCAGCCCTCTCACTGTAGGACTCCTGTTTAGAACTGAGGCAGCCATGCAAGAAGCCCAGACTGGAGTTCGAGTTTTAGTCTTGACCCTAACTTCCCTGTACAGAAGAAGTTTTGTTTTGTTTTTTACAGAAACTTAATGGTACTCAGTGGAATTGGCCCTGCAAGATAGGAGGATTTCAAAAAGGGCCAAGTCTGTAAAGCTAAATGAATTCTGCTTCCTAGTGTTCCCTTAGGTTGTGTGAGACCCACCAAATTCCTTGTCTATTGTGGTCTAATGAGGATTTGACCCCAGCTCTCCTGGGAGTGGTTCTGATGAGGCATCTCTGCCAGTTCTCCTGACTCAGGGAATTATACTCTGGAGATCCTGCAGTGGTCAGTGTGAACACAATGGTCCCTCGGATTCTGTGCACACATCTCCCACTAGCTGATGGGCTTGAGGTTCTCCAGGAGGTGCAGGAACTCACTGGGCTGTGCCCCCCAATAAGACCTTGGAGAAGCAGCTTTCCCTGGATGGAAAATGCCTGCACGAAGTGATGACACGGACTCCCACTGTCCCTATGTCCTGAGCAAAGAGGGGCTCCTCCAGGGGACACCAGATGTGGAGCTGAGATTTTTGGGTGCATGTGTCAAGGGTAGGTGCTGGTCACTCTTATATATTGTCCCTCTGCCACCTGACTCTCTGTCCCCGCACAGAACAGGGAGGCAAGATTTGAGGCTCACAACTGTCTAATCCACACCGATCCATGGAACCAAACTAAAGCACTGATGGTGACTAACATGTCAAGCCAAACACCTAGCTCCGTAGTTTGCCTGTGTGACCAGCCATCTCTGCCTTTGTTGCACTCTCCCCATTTCCGAGGGCCAGGAAATGTCTCTTGTTAGGATAGGTCTAACGCAAACAGATCTATGGGACTATCACCCCTAATGTGCAAAGACGTGCCATCTCTGGGTGGCCCAAATGGAATGGCAGGCGAAGTCTCAATTGCAATGACAGCCACTCAGAAAGGAGCTTCTGCAGAGATCATAACATCTCTACTTGTGTAGAGAAGCTGGTTCCTGACTGGCCGGAGGAGCAGGAGACACTGATTAGGTTCTGCTATTTTAAAATTACAACTACATTCTACAGAAAAGAGCCCAAACACTTAAGTAACACCTTAGCGCCACCACAACAATGCAGCAACACAGCCCAGAGATGGGGTGACACTGTGGCAACACAGCCCAAAGCCACAACGACACCATAGCAACACAGCCCAGAGCTCAGGAGATACCACAATGATATGGCCCAGAATTGGCCTGATGCCACAGCAACACGGCCCAGAGACGGGACAATACTGTGGGGATGCCCCCGTGAGCTGGCGTGACACTGCTGTGGGAATGCCTTTATGAGCGGTAATGATACCATAGTAACACTGTTGAGAGCTGCAGCCAGAGAAACAGAGAGAGGAGAATGACAAGGAGTCCCTGTTGCTAAGATACCTGAGTCTAACAACTCCATTTTTGTGGAAGGGTTGGAAATGCCAGGGCCTGCAGGGCACCCTTCCAGAGTTAGCAGCTCTGCGACCTGCTGTGCATATACCCTGCTTTCCCCAGGAAGCCCTGGCAGCCGGGGAGAGGCACAGCAGTCACAGAGAGAAGCAGGGTCTAGCCAAGGGCTTGCTCACTGCCCCAAAGCAGGACTCGGAGTACAGACACAGTGGGCCAGATTGGCCCCAGGGGGAAATTTGTGCACCTCAAACCTGCCTTCTGCCTTTGCAGGGGGAGAGATCTTTGGTGGAGCCTGGTGCCACATCATCTGTACCCTACAGATGCCCTCAAACATGTACTCACCTCCCGCAGCTACTCGGACAGTCCAATATGCACATACCCCCAAGAACGAGCGAGAACCATTTAGATTGGACTGCTATGAGATCAAAGGCTCTGGGTGCTGAGGATATTCTAGGATTGTCACAAAACATTTTCTCCTGGGGCCAGGTGCCAGTTTGCTGCCCCAACAGCTCCAAACCTTGCAGCTCCTCCCTGATTCAAGAAACAGGCGCATCTGGAACATACGCTTCCAAAGGATCCCAGGTAATTCCCCCCTTTCTGCAAGTCTTCGGACTAAACAGAACCAGAGCAAACAAAACTGTGTGCTCCACAGACAATGAGCCAAATCCTGCCCTCAGCTCCCCCATTAGAACCAGAGAGAGAGACAGGTCAAACATAGAGACATCCTAGTAGTGCAATGAACAAGGGCCAAATTTATCCCTAATGGAACATCACTGACGTTAGCAGAGTTACACAGGGTCTGAATATGGCCCCAGGAGCACACGCTGTCTCTCTGTGCAGATATGTGTCACATTCTGAGCCCGATGCATGAAGCAAATGTTATCGTTCCGTAAAGCTAGAAGGACCCGAGGAAAGCAGGTGCCAATCCTTATATGGCTAGTAACATGCTAGCACGTACATCCAGCCCTGGACTCTGTCCAGCACGCTAGGCCTTGGAGGCTCCCAGAGCTGGGCTATGTCTCTGCTGCAGCACAGGGGCTGGACACACGGGGCTACAACTTTTAAAGAATGGAAGAGAATCACTGGAGAGTATCAAAGGAGCATGTGGCTTTGTGTGCCCCACTGTATTTGCATTACCACCCCAGCCATGCCCAGGGGCAGTGCAGTACCTGAAGGAGCTCTGTGCTTTCTAGCTTTAAAGACCCGAATGGCCTTTGGTTCTGTAACAACCATATGAAGGAAGGGAGTTACGCACTGAGAGGTTTTAATAATGGGCAGTAGTGATTAACCATCGTTCTGCTGGGGCGCAGGGAGGCAAAATCAGCCTAGGTGGACGAAGGGCAGTTCCCACTGAAATCAGTGGGCTTGCACCCAGTGACCCTGGGGCTGAGTTTGGCCCATCGTCTGCAAACAGCTCAGGCGCCATGTGAGCTGAAAGGCACTATGGAAACGAGATGGGTTATTATTATAAATACCTAGCCCTGCTACTGTCACTGTTGCACTCCAGTTCACCCCCCTCCTCCAGCCAGGCCCTGTGTATGTGACCAGCACAGCAGGAGCTGTACCTTGTGGCAAGAGCTGTGCTGAGGTCACCGAAGATGCTGTTAGCACAAACAAGAAGAGGCCAAGCTCCTTCCAAGACAAGGCTGGAGTTTATCCTGCGGAAAAGGGCTGCTGCTCTGAGCAACACTGTTTTATTTTGAAATGGTTCCTGCACTGCCCTGTCAGCTCCCCATGCCCTCCCATGTATGGCACCAGCCCCAAAAGGGGAGCAGCTCCAGCTCACTGACTCTTATGAGTTGCCTTGCCCAGCTCCTGGGCTCTGGAGTTGGTTGATCCTTCACAGCATGCAGGAAGGTCGGCCGTGTAATTAAAATAGCTCAACTTTAAATATAATCAGCAGAGTCTCTGGCCAGTTCCCTGAGATGCAGGGTTCAGTATCAGCTTTCCAAGCTGCTTTCACCTGTTTCGCTTGCCCTCCTTTGTGGACGGAGTTTAGCAGCCAGTCTGCAGGCGGGAGTTATTCTGAGGCTGTCTGCAGGCTAACAATCTCCCCACCTCAGATCTGCTCTAATTAGAATGGACAAGGGAAGGGAAGCAAGAACAGGACACAGTTCTCCCCATTTCCATTCAAAGAGACCATAAATGTTCGGCCCAAATCACACTCCGTCACATGCCCATCTGGGCCTGCACTCCCTGCATGCAGACACACCTACATCCCCCCACCCCATTGATACACACCTGCTCCTACACCCCACCCCGTCAGCACCCAGGATCCTAAACCCCATCACACAGGCACAGACCTGCTTCAGTACCTCACACAGATTTCTGCACTGCACTCCATCTCACTCACACACAAATCTGTTTCTACAGCCCCCCCATCCTAAAACTCATCACATATCTCCACTTACTGCCCATCACACACCCCACCGATCAACTCTCTCTCTGTTGTGTGACACCCCACCACCCCATCACAGGTTCAAACACCTTATGATGGCAATATTCCCTTTTTTCCTATTCGTTGCATTTAATAGAGCTTGAGAAAACAGCAAAGTTCGAGAGGCTCTGTACATCCTTGTTTGCAGAGAATAATCTGATGCTGAATGTTTCCTTCCTTCAATGAGAAATTAAGGAGTATGTGGCCTAGGACAGTGGTTCAACCAGGGGGTACACATACCCCTGGGGGTACACAGAGGTCTTCCAGGGGGTACATCAACTCCTCTAGAAAATTGCCTATTTTACAACAGGCTACAGAAAAAACACTAGCAAAGTCAGTACAAACAAATTCCATACAATGCCTTGTTTATTCTACTTTATATGTGATACAGTGAAATGTAAGCATAATATTTATATTACAATTGATTTATTTTATAATAATATGGTAAAAAGAAAGTCAGCAATTTGTCAGTAATAGCGGGCTGTGACACTTTTGTTTGTTTATGTCTGATTTTGCAAGCTAGTTCGTTTTTAAGTGAGGTAAAACATGGGGGTGGTTTGCAAGACAAATCAGACTCCTGAAAGGGGCACAGTAGACTGAAAAGGTTGACAGGTTTCAGAGTAGCAGCCGTGTTAGTCTGTATCCGCAAAAAGAACAGGAGTACTTGTGGCACCTTAGAGACTAACAAATTTATTAGAGCATAAGCTTTCGTGGGCTACAACCCACTTCTTCGGATGCATATTGAGTGAAACATATCGAGGAGATATATATACACACATACAGAGAGCATGAACAGGTGGGAGTTGTCTTACAAACTCTGAGAGGCCAATTAAGTAAGAGAAAAAAAACTTTTGAAGTGATAATCAAGGTAGCCCAGTACAGACACTTCTTCTTATCAAAGTGTCTGTACTGGGCTACCTTGATTATCACTTCAAAAGTTTTTTTTCTCTTACTTAATTGGCCTCTCAGAGTTTGTAAGACAACTCCCACCTGTTCATGCTCTCTGTATGTGTGTATATATATCTCCTCGATATGTTTCACTCAATATGCATCCGAAGAAGTGGGTTGTAGCCCACGAAAGCTTATGCTCTAATAAATTTGTTAGTCTCTAAGGTGCCACAAGTACTCCTGTTCTTTTTTTGAAAAGGTTGAGAGTCACTGGCAGGCCCTAGGGGACGCAGTCCCAGTGGAAACACTCCCCAGATGTGTCCAGATGTTAGGTAAAACTTTTTTTTTCTATTACCATTTTTGCCCTAATGGTTCTTTTTAAAAATTATTTCTTAGACTCCAGAAACCATTTGAATTTCTTGCCACCTACTCTCCATTCCCAAGGTCGTCTGTGTTAATAATAATGATTTAGGCTAGGATTTTCAATGGCGTTGGGTGCCTAACTCCTTTAGGTCCCTTTGAAAACCTCAGCCTTTATTTAAAAAGCTTTGCTCTCTGCTGAGGCACCTAGGGTGCAGGCCAGGCAGGTAATATGCAGGAATAACAGCAATTTACACACTCTGAAATAGCAAAACTACAATAAGATACTTAAATGTCAAAGAAAGTGATACTGATGGTTAGCCGGGCAAAACAGGTGTGTGGAGTTTTTTTTGCAGCTAGATAACTTGCAATAAAAACACATCTCTTCTTGGATGACAGGCAGGATTGTCCACAGTAATTAGAGCACTAACCTAGGACTTAGGAGAACCTGTGTTCAATTCCCTGCTCTGCTACAGACTTCCTGGGTGAGCCTTGCCAAAGTCACTTTCCCTATCTATACAAATAAAGACAAGTACAATAATATTTCCCTGCTTCCAGAAGTGCAGTGAGGATAACTACATTAGAGATTGTGCAGGGCTTTGAGAGCCACTGATGAAAAGTGCTATAGAAGAGCTAGGTATTATTTATTTGGCAGTTAAGTCAAAGCCACATCTGACCCACTGCTGCAGAGATTATATGGAGCCCATTCTTTTCCTGCTCTCTTTCCTCTGCCGAACCCTCCAGAGCCCCTGTTACCTAGCGCACCTCTCTGCAGTTAGCAGCCACTTCAAACCAGCCATGCAGGGTGTGGCCACTCAGAATGTGGAACGGGAGCTCTCCCTTTTGCATCCGAAGAAGTGAGGTTTTTACCCACGAAAGCTTATGCCCAAATAAATCTGTTAGTCTTTAAGGTGCCACCAGACTCCTTGTTGTTCTTAGTGCTATCCAGCTGGTAGACATCAGATTGGCCCCCTACTTTCCAGGCAGTCTTTGATACAAAGCCAAGGGGGAACTGGCAGCATCTATCCCAGCACAATCACTGCGCAGAGGGGCCCTCAGGAGATAGGCTGCCCCAGGCCCTCCTGCTAAGGGGAAGGCTAGAAAGGTGAGCTCCTAAGCACAGAGATTCACCCCTATTTCAGCGGTGCATGGCCTCCAGATTCTGGTTTCTGTTTCTCTTTGAGGGCAGAGATTGTATCTACTTCTCTGTTTGTACAGCGCCTGGCACAGTAGGGGCCTGACCCCGACTGGGGCCTGTGATGCTTCCTAACAGGAATTACAATGATAACGATCTTCTTTATCCTCAGGAGTCCCTGGCCTCCCTGCGAGGGACTACAGCAGAGCATGACCCTTCATTCTTCAGGCAATTCAGGAACATTAATAGATAGCAAAGGATGGCAGGGGAAACCCTCAGGGCAGGAGATGGAGAGATTGGAATGGAGATGAGGGGTTGTAATGAGCCCTTGGCAAGGGGAGAAGCCAACACCCACCAGGGGTACCTGAGCAAGGATAAGTAACCGAGTCACACGCCCTGAGTCCTAGACTACCCTAGCTCCCATCCCTCAGGCAGGTACAGATTCTTGCATTCCAACCTGACTCCCAGTCCCCACCGCGCTCTAACCAATAACCTACATCCCATTCCCCAAGCCAGGAAATGAACCCAGGAGTCCTGATTCCCAGTTCCAGTCACTAAGCGATGCTGTGTCTCTTTTAAATATTCAAATATTTTAGCAAATGTAATATTACAAAATGAAAACAAAACTATATATTTCTATATTATGACACCCCCACTCCCGCACCCCACCCAGCCAGGGGCTTGACTTCCCATAATTCCCTTTCACCTTGGCCAGATTTTCCCTGTCATGGTCTCACACCCAGGCCAGCAAATATTGCCACATGGCATCAAACGGTGGTTTATCGTATGCCTTTTCAGTAGGCAGGGTGGGACTGGGCCCCACATGAGCTTGGAGAGATCAAGCAGAAACAGCATCTGCAAATGTGCCCAGGGCCACTTTCTGGATTTCCTGACTGGAAATAAAGCCCATGCGGATTGGAGGATGGAGACAGAGCAGCGGACTGCAGATAGGGGTAGGAGATGCTGAAAGCTGGACTCAGAGGGGCTGATCCACAGGACCCTGCCAGAGTAAAGGCACCACCAATCCACCCTGAGGGCCCCCCCATGCAGAATGGCCCCTGAGTGCAGGGAGACTCGGGGAGGTGCAGCACTGGCTTTGCAGGTCCAGCTGCAGGGAGTGTGGCCAGAGCCTTCCTACACTCTATTCCCAGCTGCTGGAATGACCTGTAGGGGCAGTGGCAGCAGCCAGGCATGAGTTAGGCCTACCCCTGAGACTGCTGTAAACTGTGTCTGGAGAGGAATCACCCTCAGCACAGGAGAGAGGTGAAAGTGACCCAAGCACCTCCCCACCCCAGTGCCCTGAGCCAGGTTCAGCACCAGCGCAGGCACAGATTCCCTGCCCCACCCAGGGAGCACAAGTCTCCCCTCCTCTGTGCAAGCGTGTCCCTCTCGCCAGCAGAAGTTGGTGCAATACACGATATTACCTCGCCCACCTTGCCTCTCTGTTGGCCTCCTGTGACATCCACCCCCCTGCCCGGTGGGTGTCAATTACTGCTCACTCCGAACCCTCCACTGGCTGCACCTGCTAGCACTCTGCCTGTGGTACAGGCCTGCCCGCTGCCCAGGCAGATGGGAGCCCTGGGAACTCAGAGCAGGAAAGCGCACTCGCTTTCCCACGCAGTTGGCAAAGTCAGCCAAAACTTTAGCCCTCCGCCACCCCAGCCTCGCCTCCTTTCCCCTGCATGATCCCTCCACCGCCTACAAAGCCTGTACTCACCCGCGTCCCGCACAGCTGCAGGAGTTGCCCATGTCGCTCCTGCCTCCATGAAGCAGAAAATGTTTTTCTGAAGTCACAGGGAGAGCAGAGCTTGTGTTTCCTGGTTCCCTGTTCAGCCCCTGGCAGCTCCAAGGGAGTGTCTGGCAGTGTCAGATTTCTCTCCATCAGTGAAGCGAAACTTCGCTAGGCCTGTGTGTGCCATCTGCTGGAGGGATTTCTAGAGGCGGCTGCTCCTGCCAGCCCCACACTCAGCTCTCCCTGGCAAATGGGGAGTTAGGATCAGGACTCCAGCCTGAACCCTGGGGAGGAAATTCTCCTGTTTGAGCCAACAGGACAAATCTCATCTCTGATATTCTGCGCTCCCCCAGTGTGCCCCACAGTTATCAGGGAATTGGCACACCCCAGAAATGTCCATGCTGAGCAGTTAGGGAGGTGGGGGACGGCCGGGGACAATTCCCCAGAGGGAAGGGAGCTGTCAGGGCTTTTCATGCTCTGATCATCCTCATCTCAGACAGTGTCAGAAAAATGTGTAGCATTAAAACAAAGACCGGTGTTACCTGGGAGTCAGTTTGAGAGGCTTTGTCCAAGGGGATGCTAAACATTAGGGACGATTGGGCTTCTGGCTAAGGCAGTGGACTGAGTCTCAATTTTCTGCCTCTATCACAGGCTCCTTGTGTAACTTTGGACAAGTCGGTTAGGGCCAGATTTTTGAAGGTATCTAGGTGCCTAAAGATGCAGATAAGCGCCTAGTGGGATCTTCAAAGGACCTCCCATGGGAATTAAGCATGTAGGCACTTTAGAATCCTGCTATGCACCTCTTTGCTTCGTTAACCTCCTAAATACCTTTAAAAATGGGGCCTTTAGTCTCTCTGGCCCAGATCCACAAAGGTATTTAGGTTCCTAACTCCCATTGATTGCTGTGGAAGTTAGGAGCCTAAATACCTTTACGGATCTGGGCCTCAGTTATCCATCTATCAAATGCAGATAAAACTACTTCCTTCACCTGTCTAGTCTACTTAGATTATAAAGCTCTTCTGGGCAGGGGCTGTCTCATGCTATGTATGTGACAGCAGCTAGCATAGCAGGGCCCTGCTCACTAGGTTCTTCTGCAATAGAAATGACAACTAATAATAAATGCTCTTATCTTAACATAACCCTGTTGTGGGAATTATCTGCACTCAAAGGCCCCGCCCTGAGATTGAGCTCTTCACGCTGCTTCTGAATTCACCTTGTGGGTTGTAGCTGACAATTGAATATGTTTGAATTAATAATTTGCATTTAACTATTGTAACATATGCAGCCTTTGCGGGTTCACTCCTAAGGCACTATGCAAAGGCGCTTAGATAATGTTTTCACCCCTCAGCTCATAGAGAACCAAGAAGCAATACGCTTGATCTTAGCCATGAGGCAGTACTACAGTGATGAGCATGGTAGAAGAACCTGTCCAGAACAGAATTCTCCTCTTTGGTTCAGCCACTGCCCAAACCACACAGTTCCTGGGCTTGATCAGGAAGCAGCTCTGTGCCTCTTCCCAAAGTGCACACTACCATTTACAGGGTTTATTATCTGATGACATGCAGAGGGGTGTTTAATACCTTACAGCAGAGACATGAGGAGAAGGCCCCTGCCCTGTGGAACTTGTGTAACACCCACTACCTTGGCTGACACCCCAAGGACTGACCAGGGTCCTCCCGAACTCAAAGCAGGAGTCGCCACTCATTGAGCTAAAGAACCAGCAAGTTACGCTTGCAATCTAATCCAATCTGGTATCTGGCTGGTGAAAGCAGGAAAACCAGACTGAATCCTGAAGCCCAGCATGGCTGTATTCTGCGGAGACCAACGTCCCAGTGGCTGGGTAACACTCAGCTGCTTGCTCATCTCTTGTCTGCAGTCACAGACTTTGTGTATCTCTGGACATGCCACAGACTGATCCTTTTGTTTGTTTAGACAGCAAATCTGTTTTTATTTCAGAGTTAACTCAGGCTTTGTTGCCTTATGGAAAAACAAAAAAATCTGGTTGAGAATCTGCTTCCATCAGCCCCTCTGGACAAACACTGGGGCTGTTGGTTTGAGTGCCACCAGAGAAACAGAAAGCCATTGAAAACATTGGCAGCTCCGGGAAGCATTTGGCTGCCACTCCGCGTTCCCTTTTTATCCTCTGTCTGCAGGAATAAAAGGGAGCCCGGGTTCCAGCACTCAAGCTTAGCAATGCGATTGTGCTATTTTGTGCTTAGGTAGCGAGAGTCCACAGATAATGATCAGCTGCTTCACACCAGTCAGTGTCAGCCGCGTCTCCCAGCCTCAGCGCGCTTGGAATGGAATCTGGCTTTGTAACCAGGAGTGAAATTGGCATTGGAGAGGGCTGCTGGCGCCCAGCAACAGAGAACTAAATCCTGCCCGTTAGAGCTAGAAGATATTAAAAGAGAGCGAAGGAACAGAATTATCCATTATTATTATTATTGTTGTTGTTGTATTTATTATTTGTACTGCGGTAACACCTTGGTGCCCCAGTCTTTCTGCAGACACAGAACGATTTAGCATTGCGTGTACAAAAAGTTAGCTCAGAACTGGTTCAGTAACTTCTCCTTTGGAAGCAGAATTGGTTCCACCTCCAGTGAAAATGCAGCCCAGCCCTGTTAGAGCACAGCCCCTTTTATCACAGAACTGCTTCACTCTGTGCAACCTGCACTTTATGCTGCATCAGAGACAATTTGGAGCTTTCATTCTGCTTCCCTGTCAATGGAGGTCACTAGATTCTCAGGTCACTACAGAGGCTTCCCCCTGCCATTCTGGTGGGATGGCATTGTTAGGTCTTGTTGCTTACCCGCCTTGCTTTCCTCACACACACAAGATGGGGGAGTTGTGAGGTTTCTTTTTCTAGGGTTGTGGAAAGTGAGTTTAAACTAAAATTGCAGTTGATACAATTATTTCTTTAATGGAGGAGCTGTCAAATCTTGGGTGCTAGCCAGAAGCCAACAAACACCCCATTAATAGGGCTTCATGATATTTCTCTTTTAAACTGATGGGCGTGGAAAGTATACAGTAAATACCCTCTGCACTGATCATGGTTTTTAACAAGCCCTTGTACATCTGGCTATCAGTCTTGGGTTTTATACAATGCTCATCACCATGGTATATGAACATTTCATTCTGTACTAATGTCTATACTGTTCTCAACCCAATATATGTCTTTGCCATACCCAAATGCCCTGATATGGGTATCTCCATTAAATGCAGGGGACCTTTACTTTTTGCCATTTGTACTGAAGATGCTGGATCTAAGCCAAGGAAAAGCCCCATTCTGGCTGAAGGGCTCAGGTCAGATTCACCAGAGGGTTCCGCCATCTCAGCAGAAAAGAAATGAAAGAAAAAGGAATTAGACACAGATTGTCCAGAGTTAATCTGAGTCCCCTGGAGTTCCCAGTCAACACGGGGGGGCCATCAAACAGCTATGATCCTGTGAGCTGTTCCAGCAGGCTTTGCACCCATGCAGTTTCACCAGAGCATCCTGTCTATGCAAGCACGAATCCTTTTACACACCACTCCCCAGAGAGAAGTGAAAGGCGAGGGATCAAAGTCCTGTATACAAAGAGCAGGTACCACCACCCAAGAAGCAGCAGGGTGAGTTTCCCATACACTTCCCTGTCAATGCACATCATCCCTGCTCTGGAGAGAGCACCTGTAAAAGCAAGGACAATGGTTCATTATTGATTCCGTGGCCTGTCTGCTGGGAGTGACAGCCAGGTGGACAGTTAGTGCCAGTGGTGCTGGTTGTTTTTTGGAATGGGAGGATCAGCCTACCAGGAACTGGACTGAGAGACCCTCCCAAGCCAAACCACGTAGGCCATTCGGCAGACGGGAGCAACACTCAACCACTGACAACCAGAGCTGCAGATCAGAACCAGTGAGCAACCATCCAGCCTCCCTGCACTGAGAATGGCTGTTCCTAAACCATAAAGACCAAAACTGATTCTCAATGGCCCTCTCCCTGAACTTGGGGCAGGTATAGAATAGCAAGCTACCACCTTTGCACTCCCTGTATTCTGAGGCTAGTGAGGGCCCGTTGTAAGTTGTAGCAGCCTCAAGGCCGCTCCGAATTTCATTCCCATAGCTCACTATGACTCTAGGAAGCGGTGCATTCCAGCCAGACTTTGGACTTGCCTGGCAGCCGGGAGCAGTCCTGATGCCCTGCTTTCAGTCCCTCCGCACAGGGGAATTCATAGGGTGCCATTCCTGGCCCCTTTTATTTTTCCAGATCAGTGCACTGGGGCCTTAGTGTAACTGAGAATCAGGCCCTAAGAAGGAATGCAAAGGAGGGACTTACGAATCCTCCAGCTTCCTCAGTGGGTGTCTTGGAACTTTCACTCTCTGCCACGCCAGGGGAGGACTCGTATCCCCACATCAGGATGTGCCAGAGACCCCATATTTGGTCAATGACACAGCACCTCACTGCCTTAATCGGCTCAGGGGAGGAATGAGTTTGCCATCTGCTGACTCCTCACAGCCAGCCCAAGCAGCTGCTGCAGCAGACTGTGTAACACACACAATCCCCCTTCTGACATCATCAGAGTAAGGGGACTTTCCCCTGGTGCCCTGTAGCATCGGGTTGATGAAGCACTTGATTATGGAAGGGGGACCTAGAGCCAGATTCATCCCTGATGTAATTCCACTGAAGCCAGTTGAACTGAGCTCTGTGTCTTCAACATTGTACAGGACCTTGAAACATTCATGGCTCACTTCCCCCAAAGGACGCAGGATGGGTCTCTACCTGGGTGGGCACAACTTCCCGTGGACTGAAGTAGGTAGGGCAGAGGAGTGCCTTGGCCAAGTTTCCTAGGTCAGCAGAACCCCTAAAGCCAGCCCTGGAGATGAGTGTGTATTTTTGACAATGATCCCCTGGCATCAGTCTGTTCCTACGTACCAGAAGCCATTACATCCCTGAAACTTCCTACAGGGGTGGCCAAACTGTAGGCTTGTGAGCCACAAGCCCCCCCACCCCCCATTCTCCGCCTACCAGACGGGGGGGGAGAGGGGGCTTCGGACCTCTGCCTTGCAATGGGGTGGTGGGGGTAGGGGCTTCTGTCCAGCAGGAAGGAGGGGTGTCAGGGCTTCAGCCCTGTGGGATGCACCTGCCGGGGGCTTCAGCAGGAATGGGGCTAAAGCCCCGAGCCCAGGCTCCCAGCAGATGTGCCCCAGCTCTCAAACTTCTGAAGATTGTTGTATGTGGCTCGGAGGGCCACCCCTGGGCTATGGCATCAGAACTAGTCTGGGAATCCAAAGGGGACTGGCACAATGGTTGCAAAGTGCACCCATCTGCCATAAGGGTGATCCCCTGCGGTTAGTCACTCTCAGGGTTGGCACTGATGTTGGTTTCACAGATGAACTCCGAATGAACTCTAAATAATCTGGTGCCATCAAATATGCTGCCCAGAACAATTTCCTGGTTCACTGCATCAAGAGAGGCTAAGGTGTTGTCCAGATTCTTCAATGCAGAACAACTATGATGTGAGCAATTGAAATTCAAAGCAAATGCGAGGAGATTAGAGCTAGATTTATTCCTCGTTCCTCTTAAGAACTATTGTTGTTTTTACATACTTACAGCCCCTTTCACCCCCAAAGCTCTCCACAAATGTTAGCAACAGGTTTAAAAACGATGCACTGGATTACTCCACCCACCACTGAAATGCAGCCCCCTCCGGGGTGGAACACAGCAGCTGGTTAACAGCCCACAGCAACACAGCACAGCAGTTTATGGCAGGAGGTGACCCCTGTTATTTCTGGATAACGGAGTAGCGATGGCAGCATGTACTACCTTCCTCTGGGCAGTGCTTGAACTGGGAAAAGGCTTCAGTTATGGTCCCCCCCGCACTCTCTTTCTTCAACTCCACCACCTCTTTTCCAACCAGTGGTCTTCCCCCAAAGCTAAGCACTGGGGGTGAGAAATAAGGTTCTGGCACAATCACATATCCCCCCAATTGAAGCAGAGCCCCAGGGTGCTTTAGGGCTCAGCTTGTCCCTTCCCCTTATCCATCCCCACTGGCTGATCTTGGTGAGTTATTTTCACATCCTTGATTCTGGCCTCCACTTCCCCCCCAGTTCGGGGAGCCTCTACGCTCAAGATGCCATCATGGGACAGCGTGGCTTTAACTCGCAGGGGGTCAGCATCCAGTGGGAGGATGTATGTCCTGGTGAATTCCCGGGAGATGAAGCCATGGCGGTCAGCTTTCTGGGAGTGCTGAGCTGTCACCTCCAGCAGGTTGTCCACCGTGCGGACGGCGATCTCGTCAGGCAGGAAGTGGCAGACATCCAGAAACACCTGGAATTTGTGCTCATTGAGGTTGATCTCAGAGATCCCCCGGTCCAGCTGCTTGTTGATCCGGGGCCTGATGTAGTACCCATGATACAAGGTGGGGGCTAAAATCTCTGCAGGGGACACACCTAAAAGAGACAGAATGAGGAGCATAGGGTTGCTTTGCATCCTGGGATGGAGGAGAGCAACAATGAGACCAAGCGAGGCGAAGGGGAATGTTAGCAGGACTGGCAGAGTCTGGGACTTGGCAGGCATCTGTGTGGGCTCTGTGCAAACCCACCACTTCTGTTGTACAATGGAAACTGAGTCACCAGGTTGGCCCACCCATGTGTCACTGAAATGCTGCATGCAGCCCACTGAGTGCCACCCCATGCCACACACCAGTTGCACCCACTAGCTCTGCCAGAGGCTGACATCCATCTGGGGGTCTAAGCTAGGAGCGAGAGAGAGTAGGTGATGGGTGGCATGGGTGCTGTGAGGAGAGGAGCCCACAGCCAGAGCTGGACGTGGAAAACACTGAATGCGGAGAAACTGGCATGAAGAACTAAAGCCTTTTGTGTGACATTGACATCAGGCTTTTCTTGGGGCTTTTGCCTTTTCACACTGTTGTGCTAGCACTTTGAGCCTGGTGAATGGTTCTGCTGCCTCCTGCATTCTTTCCCCTCTAGCGGCTGCTGCTCTGGCTTTGTCCAGAACCCACCAGCTCAGCTTTTCCCTGCGCTGACTGGGGACGCAAAATCTCCCACCAGCAGCAGCTCTTTTCAAAAGCTCCTTAATCCAACTCCTGCCAGTCAGATTCCACCACAGCCTGTCCCGGGGAGTGGGCTAGGAGAGCTTCCCTTGCTGCTAAGGTCTGCAGCACCCGCTGCACCAGGCGAGGGGCAGAGAGCTTGCTGGCTAACCAGTCTTTAAGGGGAGAACCAGTATTCCCTAACAATTTTCAGGCGACACTTTGCAATAAAAGAGCAAGACCCTTCTCTGGTATCTACACAGTGTCTTCGTGACCTCTTTGGCATGGGCTGTGCCACGTGGATTGGCTGTTGATCAGGGCCGCCCGGGGAGGGGGGGGCAAGTGGGGCAATTTGCCCCAGGCCCCCACGAGAATATAGTATTCTATAGTATTGCAACTTTTTTTTTATGGAAGGGGCCCCCGAAATTGCTTTGCCCCAGGCCCCCTGAATCCTTTGGGCGGCCCTGCTGTTGATGGCAGCAGGGGCCCCACCTGCAGTCCGGATCAAAGGGGAGTATTTTGCTCCCCATGCGCTGTGTGTGCATGAATGATGAAAAGGGAGGGAGGGGCAAGGAAAGCGGGAATGAAACATGCCGCCATGGAGGGAGGGAACTAGAAGGAGAAAGAGCAAGAGCATGATGGCTCCTAATTATTCTGGAGGCTTCTCCTGATGCCCCCTGGCCCATCCTGGGCCCCCCATCAGCTTTCTTGATGATTCCAATCCCCCCACTGCAGTTGCTTATGTGTCTGTGCAGGGGTGCTGGAACAATTTGTATAGTGGGGGTGCTGAGAGCCATTGAACCAAACTGTAAATCCTGTATATAATGGAAACCACTTCAAGCCAGGGGGTGCGGCGGCATCCCCAGCACCCACAGTTCCAGCATCTCTGTGTCTGCACTGCAGGAGGTGATGTCCCAGGGGATGCACTCCAGTCTCCTGCACTAGGAGAGAGCAAAAGTGAAGCCAGATGGGAGCCCGGCCTCTTTCTTACCTTCCCCAAAGTTCTGGTCATAGATCTTGCTGGGGTTGGCGAACTCGTATTCCGTGCTCATGGGGTAGGCATGGGGGACCGTCCGCTCAGCCATGGTCTGTCGGGGAAGGGACCTTCAGCGTGCTCGCTGCCTCTCAGAGTGAGAAGGCTGCCGATCGCAAAGTTTTAATCTGGTGAATTCCATAGGGAGGTGTGTGTGATAAAGATACAGACCAAAATAGACACACAGGCCCAGGGACGCTTAGCCAGGCAGATGAGGGAAAGCGCCTCACCGCATTCCTGCTGGGGATCTAGCCACAGTTTGCAGACAGGGAGGGTCTGCAGCTATTGGATGGCTAAGTTTAAGGCTCCCGAAAATGAAACGTGCTGTCATGATGGATTGAAAGCCAGAGGGCTAGGATTCCCTGCTCCAGGGTACTGGGTGTGCTGGGGCAGTGAAGTGGAATGGGGGAGGCTGCAGGACTGGAAGTGGGAGGCATAGGCTGAAGGGGGGGCTCGAGGGAAGGTGAGAGAATGGAGGCACAGCCTAGGCAGAATTACACGGGGTTTTCACTAAGGGGAGGGCATGTACTAGATGCTGAATGCAGGGCTGGGTGCTAGCAGCTCCTGAGCTCTCATCCCATCTCTGACCAATGATGTGTTCTGTGGCCTTTCCCCTCATTGTGCTGTACCCTTCCGATCTGCAAAATGGGGTTAATAACACCCACCTGCCTACCCCTCCACCCTGTAAGGATTAATTAGCTAACGCTGGGAGATGCTTTACAGAGTGTTACATTTTTGTCCAGTACCCTCACATACCACACACCTCTAGACTGGCATCCAAACAGGCTGTTGTGTTCTTATTGGCTAAAAGTTTAAATCACAAGTGATACATTGTTGCAACAAATGTTCTAGCCTCCACCTGGGCTTGATTAGCCTGGAGTTCAGAACTGTGCTGGGACACAGGGCATTTTGTGGGAAGTGGCAAGGTCATTCTGCAATTCGCTTCCTCATGAATCGTTCTCTGTTTACAAAATCTAAGGGAGCGAGATTTCCAGAGGTGCTGAGCAGCCACCAGCCAGGATTGATTCTTCATCACTCAGCAGGTGTAAAGTTCTGTGTGCATGTGCTAAATAGTCTGAACACTTCCCCCTGCCCCACCCCCCCGCTCACTTGAAAACGAGCCTCTAAAAACTAATGGGCTAAAATGATCCCTGGCCTTACTCTAGTGTCAGGGTTTCAGCAGCACAGAGATGGATGCAGTGGAAATGCCTACGACAGACAGGCCTTAGTTATTTGGGGGCTGGATTTGTCCTAGATCAGTTTTTAAAGTCCTGAATGGGTTGGTCCCCACATAAGATCCTTGTGCTCGGAAACTAGAGCTGCCTTGAAGGCTCCAAGCCTCCAAAGCGCAGAGCAGCAGGTGCACCAGTGTCAAGTCTTTCTTGTTTACATGATACGCAATTCAAGGAGACACCTACAGCCTGGGTTGTTGCTGCCCCCTTTACCTGCTGTCCCTCTTGCCAAGAGCTGTAGGATTGACTGCAACCTCCCCGCCATCCCCCGCACAGTTGTAGCTAGACTCTGGAGCTGTGAGGGTGGTTCAGCACCCAGCACAGAAAATAGCACTGGATGGGGGCATGGCCTCCACTCACTTGTAAGTCAGAGAGAGCAAGTGTGAATTTGCTGTCACCTAAAGTCAATGGAATTTATGTCAGTTTCTATATGTGAGCACAGAATCGGAGCCAGTGAAGTTCATAGGCAGGGCTGCCTGCTCCCTATTAATATGATTATCTAGGAGCCCCAGTCATTGGCCAAGACCCCACTGTGCCAGACGCTGTACAAACACAGAACAAAACCACTGTCCCCGCCCCAAAGAGTTGACAAGATACCTAGGGCTCTACCTGTCCATTCCTACATGAGGTGTGTTGGAGAGCCCCCAGCTCACCCAGCAGAACCCTTTCAGTTGTAACGGAAGGACGCTCTTCCCTTGGGATTTACCGAGGGAGATCCGAGTGTCTCTGGGGAGATGTCTGGTGGCCAACCCATCAGAGCACAAGTGTGCAGACCAGAGGCAGGGCACTGTCAGGAGGAAGTTCCCAGTAGTGCCTTGGGGGAGGTGCCAGCATGCATACATTAGCCACACCCATTGAAAGAAGGGGAAGAGGAAGGAACAAGTGTGGCACCCAAACAGAAAGGATAGAAACCAGAAATACAGCATTGATGTCACGCTCGGCGGCAGCTGGCGAGATGACAGGCGGCTGCACTCGTCCCATCACTGCATGTTCCTCGATTAGTCTTAGTAATCAGACTCACTCAGTGTTAAATTTAACCCAACGGCTTATATGAGTCACTTTTTATTCCTAGCAGCGCTAGGAATACAAATAGGGCTCAGCTCAGGGATGGGCAGGGGTAATGCACCAGGAAATTTGGATGTAAACCTGGGTGAGGTACCAGCAGAAACACGTGCACAGGACAAGGTAACTGGTGATTTGCTCAGGACTGGCACATCAAGGGCTTCTGTAGGTCAGGCTTGAGGGGCAGCAGCAGATCCATAGGGAGGCAGTGGCAGGGCTCGATTCTCACTCTTGTCGCTCTCTGTGATGTTCCCGCTCTGGAAGGTCCCCTTCCACCTTCTCTTCACTTGTGAACTAAGCAGGATCAGAGCACAGCTCTGCACAGGAGAAAGGCTCCTGCATCAGCCCAGGGCCCAGGCAGCATTTCTCCTTGTTCCTTTGGGACTCAGTGCTTCTGGGCACAGTGGCTCTGCTGGCTGGATGGCACATAGCTGTGCCATAGCCGGGTCTCACTGTGGGAGTTTCTTTAGGTGCTGCACATTAATTCCCAATATCCATCCCAAGGAGCTGCATGCACACCATGGAGTCACTAACACAAAGAAGGAAGAGAGGGAAGAGCAGGGCCCTTGGATGTGCCATTGGTCTTTCCCTCCACTGTGCTCTTGACAGCTGCTGCTGGCTAAAACTCATGAGATTCCATCTCCCCCGGGGAAGCAGAGAGATTGCAGGAGGAGTGTCTCCTGGAGCCTGTCTGTGAAGATGGCTTATCACTATTAGGAATAATAACGTGCTCCCCTACAGCGCCTTTCATCCAATAAGCGTTCCTTAGATTGTCAGCTCTTTGGAGCCCATAGATCGAGCGATAGATAGATAGATGCATAGCTTGCATGTCTGGGGAGCATGGTGGTGCATTTTAAAGGCTCTCACAATATAGGTGGTGCCATTTACGTATGTGAGTCTGAACTCACACCTAGACTGTGCTGAGCTCTCACCTTTCTCTAAATCTCCATTCAAGTGGCTTTAGCGTTGGGGAAAAGACAAAGGTGCTGGACTGACATACACAGGGGGGCTGAGATCCTCTGTTCGTCCTTAGAACAGGCACAGAGCAGCAGCTGTTGAAGCTTCACACATACACTTTGCCCTGCTGACTGCCCCTCCACCCTGTGGGTGTCTTGCCTGTGTCCCGAGGTACCCCTCCCTCCCCTCCATGGGGTGAGAGAGAGAAGGGAAGAGGCCAGTTAGTAAAAACTGCTGAGAGGATGATCAACGTTTTAGATTCAAACCTTACTTTTATTCCTGGTTTGCAAAATAGAGACAGAGCTAAAAATTGGATACCCATTAATACATGAAAGGTAACAGATCTGTACTGGCTCGTGGGAGGGGCAGGTTGGGGCAGACAGTGGGAGGGAGGGGGGTCAGGATGGACAGACCCACACCAGCTGGGAGGGAGGGGGGTTCAGGATGGACAGACCCACACCAGCTGGGAGGGTGGGAGGGAGGAAGGGGGGTCAGGATGGACAGACCCGCACCAGCTGGGAGGGAGGGAGGGGGGTCAGGACGGACAGACATGCACCAGGTGGCATGTGAGGGGGTCAGGATGGGAAGACCTGTACAGGCTGGAGGGGTCAGGACAGACAGATCCATACCAGCTGTGCGGGAAGCTGGGACGGACAGAGTGATCTAACAGCATTTTTCTGGCTGTAAGTCCTGTGACTGAAGCGGGCCTGCAGCTGCTCTTCTGTAAGGATCGTCAGAGCCATCTCTAGGCTCATGTGTAACTTCAGGAACCAGATTCCAAACACGAGGAAGACAACGGGCCCTTGTCACTTTCTGTGTGAGCCAAAGATAGGAGCTGCATTGATCCTCCTGGCATCTGAAGCAGCTGGGAACATCAGCCAAGCCTGGGGACTCTACAGATAAACAGTGTGTGGGGGTGCGGGGCTGGGCAGCTCTGATTCTTGCTGACCCATTAGACTTTTTTTCCCCTCCTCCTTAGCAGAGCTTTCAAATCCCCTAGATAATTGACTGGCCGCTACTGAATGGAGCAGACGGAGAGCCGGGATAATAAAACTCCTGACATCACCCTTCCAGAGAGTTCAGCGGGGGGGGCGAGGCCTGGACGGCAGTGGGTATAAAAAGCCCTGGCATACCAGTCCTTGAAGAACTCTGCTGCACCTAAATTCTTACTCTTCTCCCAGATAAACACAGATGGATATCGCCATTCACCATCCCTTGATCCGCAGACCCCTGTTTTCCTTCTTGACACCAACACGTATCTTTGACCAGAGCTTCGGAGAGCATCTCTCAGAGTCTGAGCTGTTCCCTACCTCGGGCGCTCTCAGCCCTTTCCTGCTGAGATCCCCCTTCCTAAGGACACCCAGCTGGCTAGAGACGGGATTCTCAGAGGTAACTTTTCTCTCTTCACATGCTTTGTTGTCTGCTGCGCATGCCTCTGACTGGGTCTGGAGCCGAGAGCCCAGCCTGCCTCCCCAGGGAACCCCTGGAAAGCTGCTCATAGATCGCTATTAGAAAAAAACCTGGGGGAGGGAGCACCTGAAGGTGCCATCCTTGTGTCCCTGCTCCCTGTGTCAGGCAAGATTCAGCCCTGCAGGCGCTGTCTGGCATTATACCAGTGCAAAACCCTTTGTGAAATAATAATACTTATCGTGCCTCAGTTGCATCTGTGAATCAAGCACCTTAAAAAGCTTCACTAATGTCAATTAATTAAGCATCCCATTCCCCCTGTGAGGTCGGTAAGTGTTATGATAGCCATGGGACAGAGGGCAAAGTGATTTGCCTGAAATTTCACAGCAGGGCAGAGAACAGAACATAGGAGCCCTGAACTCCCAAATCACTTACCTAACTGTTATACCACACTCCCTCTGGGAGAAAGGAATAGAG